CTGCTATACAACAGTACTGCACTACCTACTTTAAGCTACCTTGCCCAACTTTTCCCGATGGATCGCGAAGCCCTCCTGAAGGAAAAATTTGCCATCCACAAAGTCCTTCGGCTTCCACCCAGCACGTTTCGCAAAGCAGATGTTTTCTCTTTCACGGGACACGGTTTAGTGGCCCCACAGTCCGCCCTGATCCTAGGAGCGGCTAGTATGTGGCGCTGCTCCACTCTCACGATCACTGACTGGGCAGCAGAGCTCGACAGGTGGCGCGAAACGGCGGCGCTGACCTGCCCCGTCGTTGACTGGATCAAAGGAGAGTGGAGCGCCCCCTGCTGGATCCAAAAGCAGGGGATCGCCCAGCGTTTCGCAGATTTAGCGAATCGCCCACCCCGCCGAGGCATCCCAATTGTCCAGCGGAGAGCCTCGCATGCAGCAGGCCGCATGGAAACCCGTGCGGCGCAAGCGGTGGGCAAGAAACCCAAGCTCCAGCGTACGATCTCCTCCTTCCTCCGCCTCAATCTCTTCCCCGATAAATTTGAAGTCACTATCTCCAAGCGTCTGAACGCTTGGGGTCTTGCTGATAGCATCGTGGGCGGGGTGGCGGAGCGGTGGGGGGATTGTCTTGCAACGATTAAGAAGTTCAAACCTGCATGACAGTGATCAATCCTTAAGACCCTCGCAGGCGGCTGGACTACCAGCCATCGAATCCACGTGCGTGGGATCGTCAATTGCCTTTTTGGGTGCGCCCAGACTGACTCCATTGCCCATTATTTTTCTTGCCCCGTCCTCCGTTCCCTCGTCGGCCTCCCCTCCAACCCACTGACTTTCCTCGGCCTAGCGGCCGACAACGAATACAATTGTGAGAGCTGCACGTTCTCGCGCGCTGATGCGCTGCGTTTGGCCGTGTTGGCATTCCATACTTACCATAAGGCGAAAGCTGCGGTGACCCATGGGGGCCAGCTCACGCCAAGCCAACAGCGAGCCGCCTTCGCAGCAGCACAGCACGCCACTGACATCTAAAGCGGCTGACGATGCGTGCGAACTGGCTCGCCTCAGGTGCGGTCGATCATCATCCTCATCATCATCATCATGATCATCATGAGCATCAGCATCATCAACTTCAGCCTCCTCCCCTTCACCCTCATCATTATCGTTCCTGCTGCTCCACCTCGCCCCTCCTCTCTCCTCCTCGCTCCTCCTCTCTCCTCCTCCTCCTCCTCCTCCTGCTCCTCGTCCTCCTCCTCCTCCTCCTCCGCCTCCTCCTCCTCCTCCTTCTCCTTCTCCTCCTCCTCCTTATCCTCCTCGTTCTCCTCCTCATCATCATCCTCCTCATCATCGTCCTCCTCCTGCTCCTACTCCTCATCCTCCTCCTCCTCCTCCTCCTCCTCCTCCTCCTCCTCCTCCCCCTCCTTCTCCTCCTCCTCCTCCTTCTCCTCCTCCTCCTCCTCCTCTCCTCCTCCTCCTCCTCCTCCTCCTCTCCTCTCCTTCCCCCTCCTCCTCCTCCTTCCTCTCCTCCTCCTCCTCCTCCTCCTCCTCCTCCTCCCTCCTCCTCCTCCTCCTCCTCTTCTCCTCCTCCTCCTCCTCCTCCTCCTCCTCCTCCTCCTGCTCCTCGTCCTCCTCCTCCTCCTCCTCCTCCCCCTTTTTCTCCTCCTCCTCCTCCTCCTCCTCCTCCTCCTCCTCCTCCTCCTCCTCCTCCTCCTCCTCCTCCTTCTCCTCGTCCTCCTCCTCCTCCTCCTCCTCCGCATCCTTCTTCTCCGCCTCTTCCTCCTCCTCTTCCCTTTTATCTTTCTCCTTATCCTCCGTCCCTCCCTCCCATCTGTCCCTTCTCCCCGCTCATTCTCCCTCCTCTCCCCTCATTCCCATCCTCCCCCCCTGGACGCTGGACGCCTGAAAGTGTGAAAATACTGCGCCTGCATGTTCTCGACTTGTGCGGGGCGAGGAGAACGCAAACTGCACATGCCGGGCACATGCCCAGCACATCCCGACACATTATTCTACAGGCTTGCGCCACATCCGCCGACCTTTTTTGCGTTTTCTCCCAGGAAAGCGCTGCGGGCGCCCAAGCATTGTTGGCAGGTGGCGGGTAGAAAGCTTCAGAGAGCGGCCGCAAAGAGACTTCCAAGAGAGCCCACGACCTGCCAATGACTAATATTTGATCCCGCGGAGGGACTTGAGAATTGGCCGATTATCATACGCCCGGAGACCTTCAGTGGTCGGCGAACTTCCGCGTTGCGTAGACATCCGGGGGAGGAGAAGGAAGCGCAGGAGGAGAAGGAGGAAGAGGGCAGGAGGAGGAAGAGGAGGACGAGGACGAGGAGGAAGCTGAGGAGGAGGTGGAGAGGACGGACCAGGAGGAGGAGGAGGCTCGGCGGAGTCGTTCTGTCCCTCTTCATCCCCCGTCGCCGCTGGATCGCCGAACGGGTTCGCACGTAAGGCCCCGCGTGTCTCATGGAGCACCTGGCCTGCTCCACGCGCGCTGCGCCTCTCGCCTGCCTCGCTTGAGAAACGCTGGGGTTCCAACGGCTGCACAAACAGAACAACAGAAGAGTCCCACAGGAGGACCTGTGAGAGGGAGGACGCAGGCGCCCGACGCGTTGCCGGAATAGGAATCGGCGTTCCGCTCGAGGCTTCGTCAGAATTTCTGCAGGAATTCTGTTCTCGCGTCAGTGTAGCCTACATTCGTGGTCCCAACGGCCACGATCTTTGGTTAAGAATACCCTCCATACTATTACCTTCACAGGTCGCAAACGCGCTGCAGAGGCAAAGGATTCCCACCTCTCTAGTTCTGACGAGTCACGAATGCATGTCTGCACCATCGGACTTTCACCATTGCAGCGTCGCCGAGCCACGAACGAGTGGCAGTGCCATAGGATTCTGACCACTTGAGCCTTCCCAGGTCAAGGACGTGTGGCAGGGCCGTACGAGTGCCACCACGTGAGGTATCCCACGACACGAACCCTGGTCACGGACGCGTGGTAAGCCCATGGGATTCTCACTGCTCGAGTCCTCCCAGGCCACCAGCGCGTGGCAGGCCGATCTGATTCCCACCAGCTGGGCCCTCCCCAGGGCACGCGCCCAGGTCACGGACGAGACACAAACAGCGACAAACCGAACAGATCTTTGGCGCCGTAGACGTCTCAGGGGTCCGCCAGTATGGTTTGTTCAATCCGCGGCCCTGGGCGCAGAACCCTTCCGCACGTTCCAGACGCATTTCTGGTGGTCCTATCGGAGCGGTGGGTTCCGTGACCCTTGGCATTTGAAGTGCGCCTCTCGGCCCTCGGACCGTCGAGAGCATGCCAGGCACATGCCCGGCACATCCCGACACAATAGTTGCACAGCTCCAGGGGCTTGGCGGGAGGAGGTGCACGAGGAGGAAGAAGAAGGAGCAGGAGAGGCACAGAGTATAGGCAATCCCAGGAGGGATTCGGGGCGGGCGAGGGAAAGGACGGGGAGGGGGTGCGTGCACGGGTGGATTCACGGCGATGGCTGGAGGTATGGCGAGCTTCTGTGCATGGCTGTTTGGAATGTATGGCATTTGCGGGCATGTTCGGGGGGGGGGGGGGGGCGGTGGCGTGCGGGCTGCTTGGCGTAAAAGTGTACGGGTGGAGGTTGGCAGGCCGTGATGCGTGTGCGGCACGAACAAGCACAGAAACCTTTGGAATGCAAGCACACCTACAAGACAAATACAATACAAACAACACCAAGACACAAAACAATACTCAGCTGCGTTAGTCCGGCTGCCGCCTGTTGCGCTCAGCGCGTCTGCCTTGCTTGAGGCAGGTTTGTCTGACAACGTGAAACGCGTCATGTTCCTGTCGGCCCGTATGCGCAGCCCACCATGGTGCAATTGTAAGTGTCCGATGTTCAAGCTTACTGGGCTTTGTCTGGCTTGAGTAGCGTCACGTGTTCGTTCTAGCTTCCTGCACGTCGACGCGCTCAATGTTGACAAGCGTTCCGGAGCAGCACTGCCCGAGAATTGTCGATGAGGCGCAGAAGGCCAAGAGATCTGAGTATGTAACACTGTAACAAGACATTATACAGGGATGGAGAAAAAGAGAGAGAGAGAGAGAGAGCCCGAGAAAATAAGATTACGGAGCACCCCGCAGTTGTGTATAAAGTGAGGGGGCGGCGGTGTCATCGGCAGTTCGCGAGGCTCTGAAGAATCTCGCCGCTGGCGCCGAAACTCTCACAGATTGCACAATCAGCCCGCCGAAGGCGCAGATTTTTTCGCCAAAGCAACCTAAGTGGGTCGCGGGTGCGTCGCGTGGTGCGTCGCGGGTTGGGTCGTTGGATGTGTCCTTGGGCGATTCGCGGGCTGGGCGACCACAACAACAGCGCAACAACAATCCGCACCGCGGAACTCCTCTTCAGCCGCACACCCACGGACAGTGAATGACCGGTCGGCCCCCTCATTCTGAGCATAGCACGTGGGTTGCACACAGATGGAGAAAGAGATATAGCTAATCATATGAAAGACGGAAAGGGAAGGGGATGGATGCATATGTGGAGGACGGAAATGTGGAAGAGACGGGGAGGAAAGAGAAAGAGAGAGGGGGAGTGAGAGGCGCAGCATATCTTGTCTAGACTATCGCTTGGTTGTTCAAGCCTATGCCGTGGCCGTCGCACTCACATGTGGGATACCTTGATGTTGCCCAGCACGTGGTGGTGCCACCTTAGCAGACGAAAATAATTGCCGATTTTTTCATTTAAGACACACGTACACGGCCCATCTAATTGTCTGCGTGTTCCTTTCTACGAGCAGACCAATCCAGCCCAGTTCAGCAGCAAGGATTAACATGGCAAGGTTGTCGAATTCAAGGTCGTGGGCGCACCTGGACCGTAATGGTTGTGTTGACGATGGCTTGATCGTGCATGTGTAGCGCGGCGCTGCAAATATTTCGAGCGGCAACGCTTCGAGAAAACGCACGCGCGTTCATCATGTCATGCAGCCGCTCCTCATTGTTCGCACCGACCGCTTCTTGCGTGCATGCGTTAACGGCGAGGAAAGCCTGCTTCCGAGGAGGCCAAGAAGGCGCAAGGGCACGATAGCGTTACGCGGGGCATGTTGCATTGCAGTAGTCCTTGTGGCGGAGTGGCAATGGCAGAAGCGCCACGATGTAGCAGTTGTTGAAGACGTTAGTACGACAGTAAGCTTATTTGTTCTAAGGGCGCTAACCCATGTGCGAAGCAGAATTTGATATTTTGCAGCCTGTGAGATAGGCCTATGGACAAGCGCCGTTTGGCCTATCTGCTGTGGACGGGGTGGTCCATGCATTACGGGAAGAGGAATTGAGATGGCCACGAACTGTTTGAATGCGCTGTGGTCACAGGAGCACGGCAGGCTGTACTACGGGTATACCTAGAAGGCTGGCCAATGGCCGATAAGGAGTTTGGGAGGTGGAACCAACGGTCCCCATCCATCGAACAATTTCTATTGGTGCGATCTGTTTCTCTCAAGATCTAAACAGATCACGATCGATCAGTCGGTATCATGACCGACCCATCGATTGATATTATGATATAGTCGTCTACCAGTCTAATTTTCAATATACCGATAGCACTGCAAACATACATCTGAGTATACAGATACACATCCGTGTATATTTATATGTATACATATGCATGCATATATACACAGATATACATACATAACTATATACAAATATACACATGAATTCAGGTTTATACATGTATTTGGATCTATCACGATCTACATTTCTATCGATCGCACTGTCGATTAGTTTGTCAAAGTGCGCAGCTCGCGGCCATATTGTCGATCTATCGATATCACGATCAATACATCAACCATTCGAAACATCCATTGGTACAACCTCGATCGGCCGACCGATTGATCTCGGAATATGTCGATCCATCGATATCAAAACTTGTCGATCGATCTCACTATCTAATGGCTTCCGTCCCACCTTGCCACCATGACTGGGTTGTGGGTCAGAGGCCTCTTGGATGTTCGGCGGGATGTCGTGGGAGGCCTTTCAGGGAGCCTGTTAGAAGCAGTTTTGAAGCCTCTTGGGGGCCGTTTTGGGGCCTCTTGGGCATCTAGGGGGCTTTGGGGGGGCCTCTTGCGGCCCCTTTGGGGCCTTTTGAGGCCTCCTGGAGGCATCTTGCGGCGGAAAACTCGAATTGTCGGTTTGGGCTCCCCCTCTTGGGCCCCACTTGGGGCCGTCTTGGGCTCTCCTCGGCCGTCTGGAGCGGCACGTGGGTTCTCTTGGGGGCTTACTGGGGCGATCTTAGGGACCTCTGGAGCCGTTTTGAACACCGAGAGGCTGAAAAATCGCACATGCTTTGAACTCCCGCTTTTCCAATGGGATTAGACGATTTTTGACTCTTGGGAGGTCTCTGGGGCCTCTTTTGGGGCGTCGTGGGCGCCTCTTCCACCGTCTTTAGTCCATCTTGGGCGTATTGGACCGATCGTTCGGCGATTCGTGGCCCTCTTGTACCATCGTGGAGGCCTCTAGCGAGCACATGGTCGCTGCCTTTGACAGATGGAGTTCAACATGCACGAATCTCCGATTGGGGGGTCTGCTGCACATCATTATTTCGAGTTCGCCTTGATTGCGCCATTATCCGCAATTGCCACCGAAACGCTCGAACATTCAAGTTGCGCACAGAGATTGTTCACACAGCAACCCAAGCGCACAGCCACCCGAATAGGTAACTTGAGCAAGACTTGCCGGCTCTCATAGTTCCTTGGGTTATTAAGCGGCGGAGCGATTCAATATTTATTCAGGGATTTGAATTTGAAATTTGGCAACGAAAGTTGGCCAGACCTTTATTGCAATTTTGATAACGGAACCGTGCAATTGATCATTCGAGTCGGAGGAAGTTCGAACCGACAATGTCAGCAGTGTTTTTGGCCGACCCTGAAAGACATCGACGACGACCAGGAGGGGGAGGAGGAGAAGGAGAAGGAGGAGGAAAAGGACTCCCCCCTCGGCCCCGCCCCCCGTGGAGAGGAGGACCGGAGGAGGACCGGCGTGGGAGAGGGGAGGGGAGGGGGGGGAGGAGGACCCCCAGGGACGGATGCGTATCTGACTCCCCTCCCCCCCCTGGGACTCCTCTTCACTTGGGGAGGACGACCCGAGGAGGACCGGCGCGCTGGAGAAAGACCGGCGTGGGAGAAGAGGACCCCCAGAGGCGATGCGAATCTGACCCCCCCCCCTCCACCCCTGGGACCCCCCCCAACCCGCCAGGGAAGGGACAAAGGGAAAGGGCTTCCCTTTGACGTAATGAGGACATGGATGAAATCCCCTCAAGCTGCGAACCCGTTCCCCGAACGAGCAAGGGTGCTCTCTCTCTCCCTCCCCCGCCTGGACAGGAGAATGGGCAGGAGGGGACCAAAGAAAACCCCCCGTCGACGGGACCGGACTGACACGCCACACACGCCGACAGGGTCAGCGGATTCCCCAAACGGTGTTTGCACCCTGGGGTTTGTGTTCCTTTCTAACGATGTGGGCCGGCCGGTGTGGCGGTCTCGAGGCTATGTTTTCGCCGTCCCCGCCCTGTCGTCGCCCGTCGTCTTGGCCGGTGCGGCAGTTCGGCGGCTATGTTGTCGTCGTGGAAGTCCCGTCGCCGCCCATCGTTTTGGCTGGTGCGGCGGTCTGGCAGTTAAGTTGCCGCCGTCGCCGCTCCATCGCCGCTTCGCTGCCACCCCAGAGCGCACAACATTGGATTTCCTTTCTAGTATGATCTACCACCACCACCCAGGTTTATCGCTTCCCCGTGTGATACTACAGTTGTGCATCCGATTCTGCCCTATCGTTCATTGTCAATACGAATCCATAGCACCCTATGGGGGGGCACTTTATCGCCCCCTTTCATCTTTGTCAAGTAATACTCTGCGCACACACTCGCGACCCACCCGCGACCTACCCGCGACCCACCCGCGACCCACCCGCGACCCAGCCCGCGACCCGCCCGCGACCCACCCGCGGCCCACACGCGACCCACCAGATATCCACCCACGACCGGGCCCGCGACCCACCCACATTGATTTCACGATAAAAATCGGCGCTTGCGGCGGGCCCACTGCATAATTTGTAAAGTTTGCGCCTGCCGCGGGCTTCTTCAGAGCCTCGCAGACTGCCGACGTCCTCGCCGCCCCCCTCATTTTTATCCGCAACTGCGGGGTGCTACCTATGCCTACCGATGTCACTACTTATCCATCGATCCGTTTCACTATCTGTTCATCGGTATCACAAACTACTTGTCGATTCCCCAAATAATGCTTGCACTGAGCGCTTTTTTCTACCTAAAGAAGTGGGCTGGTATGGCGGTATCGAGGCTATTTTGTCGCCGTCCCCGCCTTGCCGCCGCCCGTCGTTTTGGCCGGTGTGGCGGCTTCGCAGCTATGTTGTCGCCGTCACCGCCCCGTCGCTGGCTCGTCGCCGCCCGTCGTCTTGGCCAGTGTGGCGGTCTGGCGGATATGCTGTCGTCGTCAAAGCCCCGTCGCCGTTTCGTCGCCGCCCTGGAGTGCACAACATCAAATCTTCTTTCTGAAAAGAAATTGTGAACTACCACCACCACCTAGGTTTATCGTTCCCCTTGTGATCGCATAGTTTGCATCCGACGTTGCCCATCTTTCAAATTCGAATCCATAGCACCCCAGGGGGACCCTCTATGGCCCCCCATGATCTCTGTCAAATAATACTCTGCGCGCACACTGTTGACCGAAAGCCAAAAAAAAACAGAAAGCCTTTTTGCAGAAATTTCGAAAGTGCCGGCACGCCCGCGTCGTCGCGCGCACGTGAGGAAACTGTTCGAAAACTTCGCGCACCGTCAGGATTTCAAGATCGAGCTTCCCGAAAACAGCAAACAAAAGCACACAAGAAAAACAAAACAACAAAAACATGATGTTGCTTCTTGTTTTTTGACAAATGCACTGCGGGCGCGCTCTTGCGAATTCTTGGGGGAAACGTTGGTGATTTCAACATTTTTATCAAATTCGATCAAGCGAGCCTCTCGCGCGCGCATATCGAAATCATTCGAACGCCCTTTGCGCGCTCGCTGGGGGTCACGATCCGTGTCAAGTATTTCCATGAGAACCACTCGCGCCCGTCGGCCACGCGCGCATGTCGAAATCGTGTCATAACCTTCATCACCGCCACGCGAAAACCATCATCGTCATCGGCGTTATTAACATATGCGCCGTCATTAGCCTTGCCGTCGTCATCGTCACCATGGTCACAACCATTGCTACTATCATAATCGTGTCTGCCGTTGTCGACGTCGCCATGATACCGGGATCGCCCGAGTCACCGACTCGCACTGAAGTTCCCGCGCGTCAGCGCGGCTTGCGAGACGCGTTGGGCAGTCTCCAGCGGTCACCGCCACCGCGGCCGCGTCGGGCGCGCCAAACTAGCTGGCCACTCTGCGCGCGAGCTTCGCGGCCGCAGCGATGCGCCAGTCAGCGCCAAGCAGTCAGCGCAGTCGCCGCCGCATGGGTTTTGCAAACCAATTTGTCGGCAAGTGGCTGGGATGATTGCGCGAGCAGTGGAGCTGACAACCTTAAGTCTTGCAGGGTGAATTGCGTCGCACAGATTGCACCACGAAGAGTGCACCGCATAGATAGCACCACATAGAATGCACAACACAGATTGCACAACATAGATTACACAACAAAGATTCTACTTTCCTACAAAAATACGACTATACCGCCTAGCCCCCGGGGTTAACGGTACACCATCGTATTGCAGTTTGCACATGGTCTTGCCCCATCGCCCATCCTGAATGTGATATTACCATCCCAGGCAGGCCGGTACCGGTTCCTCCCCTCATCTTCTACAACAAAAAATTACGCGCACACATTCGCGTATCAAAAATCAGCAGTTTTCAAGAACCTCTTGCACAAAAAGGACGACGTGCACACGCGCGCGGCGTCGCGCGCGCATGCTGGAATATGTTAAAACTTCAGGCGTCGTAAGGATTCCAAAAAACGAGAGTCACGAAAACATATATATATATATATATATATGTACAAGACTGCAGTGGCGCTTCGCGCCATGCACCTTGGCC